GCATGGTGCTATAATGGAGTAGTCGATGTCTGAGACAGCCCTACATGTCCCTAAAACTCCATCAGATCAATGTGAAGCAATATGCAAAGAAATGGCGTTAATTTCCAACATTGAAGATAATTTCTAAGTACTGGATTGTGCTGGAAACCAGACGTAGACTACACGCAACTCTCAGGTGTGAATATTGTGTTAGTAGAAGGTAATTGTCTGTGACTGAGTTAACCCTTTGAATTCGCCACTTGGAAACATTGATTCTCATATAAATAAATTTGTGGAATTTGAACGAAATTTATCATTTTCTTAATGATTTGCTGTTTAGAAATAAGTGCTTGAAGGACGCCGCCTTTGAATTGTAGCAATTTTGGAGGCGCCTTAGTGATAATCGCGTTAATTTAAGAATATTGACAGTGTATCCCCCACCCGCCAGTAAATTCAAGTGCCTGACTCGTTCGCTGCCTGGAATTTGCGTAATTAGGCGCAACGTGCCATGCGATTGGGTTTTTAGGGGATATTTTCCTTACTGCGAACGGTCACAACATACGTTTGGCTTCAGAGGCACGAAAATAAAATGTCGTTGAGGCAACATTACACATAATTAAACGGCATTCATACGAGGTGAACACAAAGTAGCAAATGAAAAAAGAAAAAAAAAGAAAAAAATGCAGTTACAACACATGGGCTGAGTAGTGAAGATGGAGTATAGAATCCTGGATATGGCCATACAATGGACATTTGCGACACGTGGTTTAGCGTGTTGAGAGACAGGGTATTTGCCATCTGCTATACACGTTGGCAAAGTTTAGTAACTTTAGTATGTACAGAGAAAAAATTCGAAAGGGAGAAATAACAGGTGACATTTCGGCTGTATCGGGAAGTAAGTTTGGAGGGCATTATCTACTAAGGTGGGATAAACCTCGAATCAACAGTGAAGAAACGACCGCCAAAAGTCCGCCTGCGACGTTTCAGTCGGTTTACAAATCGTCGCGGTGGATAGGCCGATGAAGAGGAGGAGGATGGCAAGATGGATGACAATGGCGGCATATCTGTGTCAGATAGGTGAAATGCCGACACCAGATCGTTTTTTGCCGAGGTTGCAAACGATTCAGAAGTCGGTGCTCTGTCGTCATGGCAACTGCAACTGGAGTTAGGCCATTCAAATGTGCATTGCCATGGCTTTGATGAACGTAACAGATCCTCGGTTGAAACAGCATGTGATGCCATGGACTTTTTTTGCTAATGAGAAGAGTGAAAGTGACAATAAGTAACAAGCAAGCAATCGTGCTAAGGAATGTCTTGGTATCTTATGAAATCAGCCCAGAGTACTTAAAATTATTTAAGAGAGTTTTCTGAGGCGCTTTTCGAATTAGTCAAATGTGTGATGAGGTATCTTCACCACGGCTCAAACTCGAATTCCGGTTATAGGCGGTTAAGCATTTGGTGGTCAGTGTGGCTGGGAGCTGTACGTCCCCAATATGAATTTTCATAATTTTAAGTGTACTGGAGTTTACCTAAAAATGGCTGTGCAACACTTTAATGACAAACCAGTTGGTTGCGTTGGTCTCAAAAAGTTAGACTGACTGTAACATAACGCCTGCACCGCTACGATTAAAAATGTGTTCAGTATTCATGTGTGAATTTGAAAATTTGAATGTTTTCCAACGACCACAGCCTTGCAACGTAGCTTTTAACTGTACCTTGTGAAGAAACGACAACACTTATTGAGATTCCCAGGGGGAAAACTACACCTCGCTCCAGAGTGAAAGTCAGTGAAAAGGGTGGAACGAAAATGGTAGAACATATAGTGAACGGTTACATGAGTATATTTGTCGAGGTACACAAACCCAGCCTCGTGATAACGAGTAAAAGTTCGTCTAAACTACACGAAAAACTGCAAACATTCACGATTTGGCACCGTTACTATCAAACATCGCATGCACCCATACGAGGTCGGTATTACCAGTTGCGCGTTGCTAAGTGCTGTTTTTGTCCTGGGCAGGAGTTTCCTGTGGGTTTGTTTCCCCGTTAGCAGGAAAGTCGAAAATAGCGAAATTGCATTTTTCGTTTTCTACCACGAATTGAAATGCTTTAGGAGATGCTGTGGAGGATAGAGTGCGGTCATACGCTACGAAGATATCAACTGATTGCCTGAACCACCTTTGGGCGTTGTGAAATGAACCGATCTACTACTATGCTGAATTCACTGTGTAGACACCAAACACCCAACGGTGTTTGGCAACTTGCGTGAGGTGAAAAGGAGAGTTCTCGATCAATCCACGGTACCAGCAAGTTAACATGGATCGACGGAGTTCGTTGGTAAAATTTGACATAGCAACGGGCAGAACAGTTTAAAGCAATTTTGATGAAGAGTCCCTGGATGCAAAACAAATCTCACTTTACGCTAGCACCAAGTAGAGGGACATAAAACGGCATTCAAAACAATTAATGTCAATCGGGGATTTGATTGAAACGTTGTAGGCCACCAGTTGTGCTTTTGGCAAATCATTTAATTTACTGACGACATGGTGCTCAGGGAAACCCTATAAGAAGTAATTTTGGCTGAAATGTCCCGCGGATGGCACCAAGAGGTTTGCTCATGTAAAAATCTATCGGATGAGTCAACAGTTAAGCAAAAGAAACTGCCATGTTCAGATCTCACCAGATACTTACAGTGTCAACTGTTGTTACATATGGATAGGCACATCTACCTGTAATGTTACATCTCACCTCATTACGGCCGACCATCAAGCAACCAGTACATCAAGGCGCATCACTAATATTTATGATCGCTAACAAATGCAAGATAAAATTCTTAAGCGATACGTATTGTATTTTGGGAGCGAATACTTAAGCAGATATTGAATAAAACCGTCTCCAGTTGGAATGCCACGAAACACGGTCAAGGGATCCTAATGGTAAATAACATCCATTGAACACAGACTTACGAAGAGGAGTTGGGAAGCCGAAGGCTGAGCATGGGGAGGTGGGGTCCCATTTTCTGACCTCAGCTGTGTTGATCGCGCACGAGACAGGGTGCTCTGGTCTCTAGTTGGAGAGCCCAGACATGTAAAGGAATTCCTCTGTCTTTTCACCACACCACCCCCGCCACATTTGGCGCCCTGATGACAGTCATCTGAGTGCACTGCCGAGACTTCACTGTCCGAGGCCGAGGAGCAGGAAATAACCATGGGAGTTTGCTTACTAGGCCCGCCACTACTTCTGTCGTCACCGCCGATGAGACCGAAGGAGCCGTTGGGAAGTGTGGGGGTATTTCCGCTCCCGCCAGGGTTCAAGACAGGCGGTCCTACGGTGGCTCCACTAGTGCTGACACCGGTCTTTTCTTGGAGGAGTTCGTGGAGGACATCATCAGGAAGTAGATCAAGTGCTTGTAGAAGACTCCAATTCTCTGCTAGGTGAATAACAGCAGAAGCCTGAATGTCAGTATGACGTTATCGAACTTTTGTTTACAAACTCGCGGCCAGATACCACGCCCACACCACCACGAATTGTTCAAATTATTACGCAGGGTGACCATGTAGACTTGTTAGACAATGGATAAGGAGGGTACCCACTCCAAAATGTGTCACTGAATCAACATTGAGAGCCACTGTTAAAATAGTTAATTGCATACATTTTTAAGCAAAGCACGTCAACTGTGTTAACACGACATCCGCTACGGTGACAATAGACAACTTAATAAAAAATTCGTCACAGGAGTCGGACGCCGAAGTAGTTAGAACGTCATGTTTGCGTCTTTTTACAAAGAGACATATTTTACGGCAAAAAAGAAGTGACCCAAAGTGGTTAATGGTTAATCCTGCTGATTTTAATTATTGAATACTGATAATGGAACATGGTGTAGCAGCCAAACATTAATATCCACATGCCGGACAATAAAAAGCATTTTTGTTCTGATGTGAAAAGTCATGAGGGGATTAGAGAGTTAAGGAGGCAATGGTATCAGAAAGTATTACCGTCTAGAAGGGTCACAGGGGTAGAAGGACTATCAGGTTTAGCAGGAGAGGTTCGTGTCGGGCAGCTAACTTTATCAGCGGTGGTACTGGTGGAGGGACGTTGATATGTGGGCTCTGAGAGCAAATCGTCAAAAAAGTCCATATTGAGGTCTACGAGGGAAGAGGCCGACTTTAGATGGCTACGCCGTTGTCGTTGCCTAAGTTTCACATCGATTGGATCATCACAATTCAAGGTGTTTGAACGGCGAAATAATTCCCCAATCTTGCCGGAGTTCCGACTTTCGAGGTGGGCGTCGAAGTGGGCTTCGAAGGCGGCTTCGTTGGCACAAAACGCCCGACACTCCTTTACCGGACACGCGAATACTAACCGCACTGGTTTGTTGAGAGCTGTAAGGAGGGCCCAAAGACCAATTAACAGTAAAGTCATCTGTGTTACGAAATGGCGGAAATTCAGGTGGGGAACAAGACAAAGCCATGACCATTAATAGTGAAGATCGCAAGGGACCTTAGCTGCAGACAGGAATGGCGACTTCATCTGAATTAGAACCATCAGCGATTACTGAAACACTGAAACCAGGTATCGAAAATTTAAATTTAATATATCGTGAGGTTCATTTGATCTAAATGGCCATATTTGAAAGATGTTAAAGCAGAGAAATCGAGCAGATGAATTCGGCAACAAGACTCCTTGATAGAACAGGGCTAATCAGTAACAGAATGTTTTGTAGTAGACAAGTGTGACAGTTATTTTATGGCAGACAAATTATTGTTGAAGGAATTTGTTGACCACAAAACGCTAAGATTTGCAAACAGCATAGTCAAAAAGAGCACCTAAGCACAAACAATGAGATCAGAGAACGTAGCGTACGTACAATCAGGTAGATGGCACTCCTTTAAATGTTCACAGAGATTTTCACATCCAGAACACACAAGTCCGCAATCATGCACAGGACAGGCGACCAACTCTTCAGATCTCCTTGCAAAGGAGGAAGGGTTATCTCCACCGCCAAAAACAACACTAGATGAGCGTGCAGTATTCGCTGATTCAGTAGTGTCCGTCGCAGTCGTGGCCAGTATTCCTCCACTACTGTCTCCACCACTACTCATTGTTCGTCTTCGTTCACAACGATCACCACGTCGCCACCGCATTTTTTTATCCCCCGTTATCGAAAACCTCCGACGGCAAAGGAGCATTGTCGAGGAAGTCGATGACAACCGCTGTTTCCTCTGACGGGACGGAGTGATTCGGGGATACGGGGAAGTCCGGAAGTCACCACCTCCAGTGCCTTTGCCGTCCTCGGAGGAATGTCGACCACAATGCCCTCCACCAATGGAGCCAGAAAAGTCAGAATCTGCTGTCCAACAGCAGCTCGAGCACTCCTCCGTCATGGCGGCAGTTGAGAGGTCGATTGCAGAACCACGAGGAAGTAGATGGAAGGAGGGCGGAGGGGAGAAAGAAGGGGAATGGAAGTGACGGGGATTTGTGGGGTGGAGAAGACAAGGTAGAGAATCGGTTGGTCGATTGGAAAAGTAACAGGAACTGTCGAAACCAAGGTCGCTGCTACAGTCCTTCTCCAAGAAGTCTTCATCTTCTGCATCGTTTTCAAAGTCCTCGGCGTCGTCAGGCCAACAACAAGAACAGTGTGGAACGTTGACAAAGGGTGGTGTCCTATCGCTGTTGCTACAGCACCAAGGCTCAGTCAGGGCTCCACCAGCTACAAGGTAAGACCATCTTTAACTCGAAAAAAAACATTATACTCAAGCCAATAATGACCTATGATTCCATTGCTATAAACTAGTGTATTGTGGGATCTCGTTAAAAGTGGATTTCATTCATTCAATTATATAAAAAGATCTGACGCTTTTGAAGGCAGGAAAATTTACTTATTAAGATGTCATATTTGAGCTCTGAACTCGTTCAGAATAAGAGGACAGCAGAAAAATGGGTTGGACCACTCTACTACCTCTTCCTCGTAAGGCTTAGACTCTCGGGTCGGGCCACATAAAAACAGATGTTTTGAATTAGACAACGGTTTGAACCCGATACGATCAATTTAGACCGATACAGTTCGACTTCGAAAACCAGGCGCATGTCAGAACAAAAGAAACTTGCTACTAGGCTTCGAAAGTTTCAACCAGACCTAGACAAAAGTCACAATTAAACCAATGAATAGCAAAGGAGCACAGTGACAGAGCACTTCTGGAGGTGTTAATTAAACGACATCATCAAGAGAGTTAGGAGGCAAAGTAAATCCCAAATCACCGAGGACCCAAGATTCGTTGGTGGACAATTTACGCAAAATGACATGCTACTACACGTTCTCAAACTCACACACGCTAGGTAATTCAGAGCGCTCGGTCGAGTAAACGCTCATGTGAAATGGAGGGTGAGATTGGCGTTGTTGGTGGTCAAAATGCGCAGTGGACGCTGTCGTGGTGGGGGGAGAGTGTTGCATTGAGACAATAGCCACTTTGCCACCTCCACTGACGCCATTAGTACCGGGTTTTTCAGAGGAAAGTCTGGGCGAAGTTTGACTGCGGAGAGCTGACCGTGAAGCAGCTGTCACATGTGGTGTGAGGTACAAAGGGGGGCATGTCAGAGTACTAGTCGAGGAACAAGGTGGAGGGGAGGAGCATCGGCGTTGGGACTTTGATCGATCCAGTGACCGAGACGACCGTTGATCCAACTACAACATGGAAGGTATAGGCCGAAATTTGCATAAGTTAATGCAAACAACGAATTCCTCGAAGAGAAACCATGACCTCCCTAGAATTCAAGTGTAACACAGTGGAAGGAAAGCTGCCTGCTTTTGTGCAAATGGATCTCCCACTGACAATGTAATATACGCGATAGAAACTACATTCTAACAGATTTATCCATGCTGATTCCAACGATCGATTAATTCGTCTTTTTTTGTGAATATACGCGCAGCAAAATTTGTTCATTGTCACCGAATAAAGGAGAACACAGCTTATAAAAGGGAAAAGATTTTAACAGAATAATGCAAAAAAATGGTTCCCAGATAACTTGATCCAATTATTTAAACTACGATTTCAGGAACGAGAAGTTGTCCCAATAACTGCAACTCAGGCCGACCTGCATACATGGCAGGTTCGAAGCATTTTCAAACCAACATAACTCCGGTTTCGTCAACCTTGATGAAATAATAGGCCACTACATCGGACTAGATAGAACACATGGCGGGACAAACCCCCTCCCACTCGAAAGATGAATTTGAGGTCAGGCAAACTTCTCAAGGGGACACTTTTGGGTAGGTGGTCAGACACATGAGGGAAGCAATTGCGCATGTCGATGTATACACGCCTTTCGCGGCTTAGGGCAATTTCGAGGCGATGTTCTGTTCAATTTAAATCGATGGAAGAAATTTGATGGAAGAAAACTGGTGTTATTAAGTATAACAGTCCCAAAGTGAAATTAATGTCTACGCATAAAGTGCTTGGTATTGCCACATTTGCAACAAACTAATTGACGCTCTGGTCAGACAGCAGAGAAAAGTGCAAACACGAAAGCCACTAAAGTGGATTCCTATTTGACTGGATAATATGAATGTTTTTTTTTACTAATGTCAAGAAACTTCAAGAAATCCTATAAATAAAGAAGTAACAGCTGTGACGGAACTACAGACAAGGTAATATAAAAAAGACACCAACGAAGAAGTTAGAACCTCGAAGGGGTTAGAATGGGACAGAATCAACCGATTAAAAACAAATCGGAGTCCCCAGTTGTTCAATTAGATAAATCCAAATGGTCCTCACTGAATTCTGAATGCCATTAATCTTTGAGATAAGGAATTTTAAAACTTCGTTTAGTTTTACGCTACATATAGTGATTGGTCAAATCGAAGACAAAATACTTCTCCTAACGTGAACATTTTCGAGGAATGCTTAAATAATTAGGGATACAGTGGAAGTCAGGAAAGCGAGAAACGACATTGTCGGACTCTACTTAAGAACCCGTTTCTAATGATTAGAGGGCATTATAGGTATAATCACGATAAGAAAACGTTTGTACGATGGCTTGAATGAGCATACCCTTATGGTTCGCAAAGGGTAGCAAACAGTCAGGAATGACTGCCCGCTTGTCGGAGGTGCTGACAAGGACGCGGGAGACCGGGAATGGGGGTCGTCATTGGTGTTGACAACAGCGGAAGACACTTGAAGTAAATCCGAGGCTGAGTCGGTGGATAGCAGTGGTTTTGGCTTCAACGGCACCTCATCTTCGTCAATAATTTCTCCGTGGTATTTGACTAGATGACGTGTCAAGCCGATGCGTGCTTGATACCGTCTACCACAGCGAGGATGGGGACACTGAATTCCGAGAGACAAAAAATCCGCTCATGCAACTTGCTGATAATGTAAAGTTGATACATATTGTCATTTAAATTAACCTCATAGTTCCCAACTCACAGTTCATGCATGGTAACTTCGCATTATTTTCAACACGACACAGCTTCGGCTCTATCAATCTCGATATAATGGAAAAAAATACGTACCTAAGACCACGCACTTATCCAAACTAGACGGTGATGGCTTAGGCGAAATAATTCTCGTGAGGTCAGTTTGAGGTCGAGGCGGTTAGCTCATTAAAAATCATGCACGCACAAAAAACATTGTCTATGAATGCTTTTACGCTGCACGGTTTTAGATTCAAATAGTCAGTTGTTCAACAGAATAATAGCCGTTAATAAAAAAAAACTAACTACGACTAAGGACAGAAGGCAGATGTAAATGGTTGCATCACAAAATTTCTGTTGCCTAGAGAAATATAAGGGGGGCTATTTATAGAAGCAGTTCGGTGCGAAAATTGGAACTCAGTATATTCTGTGCCAATATACCAATTGTGAGGCAAAGCTGCGCCTTTTTACAGCATCGGACCGTTTTCCAGACGAAGCTCTCCAACATGAGAGGACAGATAAAGTGGAGGTCAAAACAGCACTCGTCACCAATCTCATCAGGGATAGCTTGTGCATGTCCTTGCCATGGTGGCTACTTAGATTGTGGCGTCGTTTGCGACATTAAGTGTGGAATTGCTCAGCCTTAGGCGACACGAATGTTGCACTGCTTGCGTAAACGTGGTTTGGAAGTGCAGTTACCACTTAAGACTACCAGTCTACAAATGCTCAAATGATCAGGCTCATCAATTGTTTCTTCTTACCTCGGGAAAAGCACGCTACGGAACACGTGACCCTTGACATCTGTGCACGTCTCGTGCTTACTGACAGACA